TTTTATTATACATTTATGAAAGAAACTCAGATTAATTTCTGTTATTATATAATAAAATTGTATTTCTTAACTCTTCATTAATGCATCTACATCATATACTATCAAAAGGAGAAAGATTCCAGGAGAAGCAACAAAAAATAATGATCCCTGTTGGTTTTTGATTTTTTTTCTTTAAATTCTGTTTTCTTTCCCCTGTAGTGTATAACTAAAGGGAAAGTGAAAAAGATATTATTAGAGGCACAGAATATGCAGGAACAAAATATGCACAGAATATTGGAGGAACAATATATTTTTCCAAAAAAAGAGTCACTCATGATTTTTTGTTAACTAATGTATTTGTTTTATACATGCATTTTTCTTGAAAAAATAGATTCCTACTGTCTGTGGTAGCTGCTAAGTATATGTTGATAAAGGTTAATCTTAAAAGTATTCTAATGAAACACATCAATGAAGGATCATTGCATGCAGATTTTATAACAGCGTAGTAAATATTTGAATTCATATGTCAGTTCCTAAGGAAACTTATGGAATAGCCATATTGGGTAATATCTTAGTAGATAAGTAATTAGAAACCTACTGACTGCTGATGGCCAAAATGGTAGCTCAATTTACTCACCTTAACATCTCAATTGGTGGTAGCACAGACAAACAATTATTCAATAACAATATAATTTTTTTTTTTAAAGAAAAGAAAATTTTATTAATTTTATGTATTTTACAAGCACTCAGAACAGAGAGATGCAACATTTATCAATCCATATAAGATCTCGATTCACCATCTGAAAATATCCAGCACTTAGTGCAATACATTTTAATACATAGCAATGATACCTCCTGGACTCTGCACAGGATCAAAAATCAGATTGGGTAGATTTTACTTCTCTGTAACTTTCTTACATTCAAAACTTGAATGATATTTCTAAGAAAAATTAAGGTCAAGACAGTGGAAAGAGTCTTGATTTTCCAGCAAGTTTGAAGAGTAAATACTTTGCTCTTCTTTTATCATAAACACGAAGGCCAGCACTCCATACACAATAGGAAAAAAATTTTAATTTATAGGATGAAATTAAACTTTTGGGAAGACAATAAGATACTGATGACCTAGATTAGACTTTGGGCTAGTCACCTTGAATATTTGGGAGCTTTTAGAACAGCAGTCAACTGAGCTGGAAAGGTCAGTTTAAGTGATTAGAGATTTAACAGTACACTAAGGTATAACAGGTACAGGATATGACAGACAGAATGTAGCTCTGCAGTAGAAGTATGCAAACCACAGCTGCAGACAGCTCTGTTAAATATATTCCTAGTGCTAACCATGCCAATTAGCACAGTCTACATCTCTGAGGATTCATCAGCAGGACTGTGAAAGGACTACCTGATGCAATGATTTCCATCCTGTGCTGTCCTGTCATGCATGAGCATCCTAGCTTATGAAAGCTTACAGGAAGGAAGAAAAGAAAACCCAACATGCAGGTTCTACTCAAAAATGAAGAGACTGCCTTGCACTGATGTGTGTTGCCCAACTGAACATGCAGACAGACCCCCAGCACTGTGTAACCATCCCTGGCAGAAGGCACCACTGACTTTGGCGTGCACTGGGACCACGTGAAGGTTGTCACAGGGTTCAGTCTTGACTTTGCAGATTCAAGGGACATTCCACAGTGGCAGCAAGAGCTGCAGCTCCAGGAACCAAGGAACCTGCCTGTGACAAAGCCACTTTTAATATATATTTTTTTGGCTACAAAAGGGCTTGGAGACAAAATTTGATATTAAGTTTTACATAATCATGCAAGATATGAATACAGATCTAATGTGATATTGTTTCATGGTCTCTTGCTTATACTGAACTCATTGATACTAATTCTCCTCATCTTATTCAAGTTTTACATTATCAGTGTTTTCAGTCATCAATGACAGATTCAAGACAATTCTAACATAAAAATTTCACTCATCTTTATTTAAATGGGCTTCTTTTATTTGTTTAATGGCAATTCTAGCCATATCATTGCTGAGAAAACTCTGAGTATATGTTCTAAATGCAATCTCTGGGCTGAAACTCCATTGGAAGAACACAAAATAGTTTTCTAGTACATCTTGTTGACTACAAGACAGTTCTATGAGGCAGGATCTTTTGAGGATAGTAGTGTCACCATTAACTTGCCACAGAAATGAGAATAGTCCAGTGAAGTGCAAAATTTCACAACATTTCACTCTCAAGAAGCCATATGAAGGGGGCCTATGACAGTGAGTGGCACCTCAGTGTTCTCGAGAATGTCATGGTACACGTATCTAGCATTGTTTGTAATAAAAAATTGTAAGTATGATAAATGCCAGCTCTTCCCATCTGCTTCTCAAATCGAAACAGATCCAGTTTCTTAAAGGTGTTGAGCCAAAAGTGGACCTTCTGTATTTGTAAACTAAACTGGATATAAATTGTTTTCTTTCTATTGTTACAGTTATAAATTATATCCTTTTTAGTTTTAAAAACATAGAGACCACTGTCATCATAATAGTGTCATAATATGGGCACATTTCATAACACAGGTACATGGTTTTCATTACCAACAAAGCTGGAAGTGGGTGTTATTTATTAATCCAATAGCACCTAAAGTTCCAGCCATGCTAAGTTCTCAAACAGACTAGGATCTGTACAAATATAGTACTTCCAATCTGTGTATGGAAATCATGCCATCAATAATCCCACACATTCAGAATATTCAGTAAATATCAAACTTCTGTTAAAGAATCAGAGATGGACAACAATGCTAACTAATACGGAATGAAGAGAGAATCGGGGTTGCAAATCATCATGGACATCAGTGATATAAAGGTGAAGAAAAGTTAAAATAACTTAGCAGAGATTTTTCCACAGTAAAATTGATAGAAAAAACAGTTTTCCTTTCAAAAAAGTTGGGATATAATTTATATCATGTAATTCTGTTCTTGAGACCTGTTACATAAATTCCAAGATATTTGGAACTTGTGAGACCCTACCTGGAACATGGCACCCAGCTCTGGGCTCCTCCACACAGGAATGACAAGGACCTGTTACAGCAGGTCCAGAGGAGGACAGTGAAGATGATCAGAGGGATAGAGTACCTCTTGTAAAGAGACAGGCTGACAGAGCTGTGGTTGGTCAGTGTGGAGAAGAGAAGGTTTTGGGCAGATCTCAAGGCCTTTTAGAGCCCTAAGAAGGCTTAATAAAAGGAGACAGAGGGACTTTGTATACGGGCAGTGACAGGACAAGGGTCAATAGCTTTGAACTGAAAGAGGGCAGGTTCAGATTAGATATTAACAAAGAATTCTTTACTCTGAGGGTGGTGAGGCACTGAAACAGGCTGCCCAGAGAAGTTGTGGATAACCCATATCTGTTAGTGTTCAAGGCTAGGCTGAATGGAGCCCAAGCAATCTGATCAAGGGAATTACACCCCTGTCCATGGTAGGGGTTTTTGAACTGGGTGATCTTTAAAATCCCTTTCAACCTAAATAATTTAATTATTCTATGATTCTGCTAAGAAGTATGAGAAATCATGGTGATGGAAACATAAAAAATACCTGAGACAGGCAGAGAGAAACAGGCTGATAGAAAAGTAACAAGGTCACGTGGCATCAATCCACAGGTGATGTGTTTTGGATGACAGCTTGTACCTGGAAGCATTCAATATATTGTAAGGCCTTTTTTCACCAAAAAGTTGGTGTATTTCCAAACATTGGTGAAAAGCAGAAACCGAGAATGGGTCAACCTCCCACAGTTCACATCTGATCCATTGAGAGTAGGATTCAATGTGATTGCCATAAATACTCATCTAGTCTATTGCCACATAAACTGATGGCAATATATATAAACAAAAGTAGCTCTATGACAGTCATTTAATCAGGTGTCATGACTTTATTAATTTAATATGTACACAAGGACAGAAGTTTTCCAAGGAGAGCTCAATTTCTGATAGGGTAGGTGTATCTCTGTTTTTTTTATGTTTTTTTCTTAAGAGAAAATAACCCTGCTTTAGACACTCAATACTAGTGAAGCAGTTTAATAAAACAGCAAGCTCTGCAGGAAGAATGATCAGGCATTAGGTAGTGATCAAACTAATGATCAGGCATTGTAGGTAAGTGGAGAACTATCAGTATACAGCTGACACGAGAGTTGAAAAGAGCTTACCCATCCACTTTCACCCTATTTATTTAAAAACTCTAACAGAGACAGAGAAGATCAGTGCTACCATATCAGTAAACTTAGGGGGTGACAGCCCATGTTGAAAAGTGAAATAACCTACAATTTGCTCTGTTAGTATTTTGTCAGCCAAATAGGGAGCAGAATGTGCAGGCAGTTTCTAATTCCAATACCAGCAGGTTATGGCTACCAATCAGGCAGGAAAAGACAAAGGTTGAGAGTCTACCTGCATTTACCCAGGCAGTTAGACTCCCAGGACAGGGGAATATGAACTAGTAACAGAAGTTATTTCCCTGGCCTTTTTTCCTTCCCTGTATTCTATTCTTATAGTGATTGTGGTGTCATCAATAGTCTGTTAATTACCAAGTTCACAAAAATTAGGGTTTCTCCTCATATACAGTGTACCGGTGTCAGATCCTTAATAGAGTTTTAGTATGAGTTTTAAATTTTGACTGCCTATGTTAGCAAATACCAACAAAAACAAAGCTGCATGGGTGCATCCTGCATACTTACCATGTTAATATAACTTAGGAAATGTTTCATGGTTGCAGTCCATCAGTGCTATTGCTGAGATTCAACACAGTCATTTGTGTTGAATTTGCTTGTTGAAAGTTGGGGCTCACAACAGAAATAGATAACTTCTGGGTATTGAACCAAGAATGGATTCTATCTGTTGGCTCCCTACTGTCTCAAAAACAGCAACATTTTAAAGTTCTGTAATAAGACAGAAAAATTGAAGAAACAATGCAAGATTTCAATGCATTATTTTAAGCCTTTAATGAGAATGAGAGTACATCTTGGACACAGGTCATAAAACTGGCTCAAGACTGACAACAATGCATAATGACTGTGCAAAGGAATCCCCATTATCAACCTAATAGTCAGGAAAAAATAGATTAGGATGGCACAGTGTTCACATCTGGCCTCTTGAGGATCATTTCTTAAATTAATTCTTAACACGCATTGCTGTATAAAGATGATTTGTTGAGACTTAAGGATGATTTCTTACCCAGATATTTCAATGGTTTTAGCATGGCTGATGACATATTTCCTCCTTCGGTTGTGTGCCCAGAAAAAAAAGACAAGAATATATTAAATGGCATAAAAGCTCAGTTTAACAAACTGAGCATCTTAAACTGTATTCAACAGGATTCATATACTACAGGGCAAAAATAGAGATTGCTTTGAATCTTTGATAGACACAAGAAGAAGTTCTGAATACAGGTTTTCTCTACAAGGTCCACTGAGCTGAAAAGAATCAGTCATAAAATTCCTCTGTGACATCACGGCCAGAACAAGTCTTCATTAATCCCAATGGCTGTCAACAATCACGTGAAAATTCTTGGCGCATTTTGTCCCATTTAACACAAAGTTTTATATGGGTGCCTGTTAACATGGACATCACAGAAGGGGATCAACCTATGATGTTAAGTTACAGACTCCAGTGGAAAAAATTATCCATGCATTTGAAAAAATAAATCTTCCTGTCCATTCTGCCAAATGGTGGGTGGTATATGCCAAAAGAGCACCAAAAGACCATTATATCTAAATCTGAGGACATTTTGTGAAAGGAAAAAGAAAATATAAAGATACCAACTTTGTGCCACCTTTCATGAGGCAGGATGACACAGAAGGAAAAAAAATTGCTTCCATTGTGTTCGTGTGGATTATCAAAAAAAAAAAAAAAAAGAATAAAAGTTGGTTCCATTCCATCATAAAAAGGCTAATAATTACCTGGTCCAGAGTTGGCACAGAGAATTAAAATATTTAGCAGAAATCAAGCTTATGCAATCATGCTGCTTATTTAACATCTATTTCTCCTCCTCATAACAGCTCTTAGTCTATTCACAATTTCTTTGTCCATGTTATCCACTGGCTTCAAGCCTTCAGTGATGAGTTTTTTTCCCCAGTGTGACATACTTGTTGCCTCCCTGTTCAGTTTAGAAGTCACAAAATTAATTAGATTTCATAAGTACTTTGAACATCAACACCTGAACCTGAAATGCTTTCCTGGTTTTAAATACTATCAGTCGTCCTTTATGTACCTATTTAAGGATGTGCAAAGACCTCCAAAACTTTTTTTGCACATAAACAATAACATGAAAGCTGTATGGCTTGTCACTTGGTTGAACTGGGATGCATTTTGCAGAGGGCCAGTATTTGGTGTGGGGTATAGAGGCTCTGAGTCAAAGTCAACTAATGTCAGTGGGGCCCCATCTGCTGCCTTCAGCAGACTTTGGATCAGGCTCATTGCATACTGATAAAGATCAAGAAGAAGGGAGCCTTGAATTCTCATTCTGATTTATGCTGAGTAATTGAATACAAATATAAAGACAATATAAATAACTTCAGAAAGGTCACTTGGCTAGTCAGCCTAGGAAATAAATTTAGAAGCCTTAGGTAAATGTTTAAACCACCAGCAAAAACACTTTTTGAAGGCATGAGACAACCGTTTTATCATTATGGGGTTTTTTAAGAATTACAGGCATCATTCAAAATCTACATTTTTTTTACATTCCTAATGTAATAAACAATCAATAGGGCTTTCCAGCACTTTTCTTATGGCCTCATCCTTCTATTGATCTCAGCTCAAAGTCTTCAGTGAAGTCGCACATATATAAGGACAGACAGACTCGGCCTTAATGAGTTCCTGTATCAGCTTGGTCTGTGATATATGCAGGATTATATATAGATCTGGAAATAGCGTCTGACAGCCATGTGCTGCTGCTGCACAAGAGTGGATGGAGACAACACTCAACCTACCAGTGCGACCCTCTAAATACCCTTTGGCAGTAACACGTGAACCCATCTGTTAAATAGTCCAAGAAATGGGGTTACCAATGTCTGGATTTCATTTTCAGAGGGAAGAAAGAGGAATATAAATACATGTCTATTTCCTTTTGTGTTTGACACAGCTGCTTGTCTTCCAAGAGCCAGGATTTTCTCCAGTCTGGACAGGTCATTCTGTTCTTACATTCATATCTTTGAAGATTACCTGCTCCCCAGAAATTATATCTAAATCCTACATATGTACCAAGGAAAATGAAGTCAATTTTGTATTTCCTGATCTGACATGAAACAAGCTTTGAGGGATTCCATTCTTTGGGAGTCCCAAATGGTTTAGATACCACAGGTTGTATGTGATGACATTGAAAGCCAGGAATATCTGTACTTGCACCAAGTATGTCGTGGCACCAAGGCCATGGCATTAGCTGCATAAACATCAAAACTTTCCTCCAGGATATGTTAAGGAGTAGAGCCAGAAGCATGTTAACAGTCTAGGGTCCTGCTGAGGTAACTTAGCTTACTGAAAAAGTTGCACTGTGATTGCAGAACATCTAATCTAAGTATTGATTAGGTCACTTATATTGATAATATGCCATAAAGAAGTTAAAATCAAGTCACCAAATTCACAGTTGATAGTGAAACTGGAAGACAGCAGTGATCTTAAACCAGAATAACCCAGATTTTCCAGTTTCTATTCCAGTATTCCACCTACTAGGCAGTCACTCACATTCTAGAGTTTACAATATTAGATTCTCTATGCTGCTTACCGCAGTGAATTCCAAGCTTCTATTCCCTATTACCTGCAAAATTATAGTTTACTGATCCATTCTCTCAATAGGAAAATTTGTTTGCAGTGCAAGTCCCCAGTCTTGCCCACAATTTAAATCATATGACATTCCCATTAAGGAAACGGCACTTTCAAGGTTAAAGATAAGAACATGATTGTTTACAAGGTTTACTTTTGACTTTGTAGCAAATACATACCTACAATACCTAAAAGCTGAGCAATTGCTCCTTTTATTTCACCTGTATGGATACTGTGTTCCTACATGTTTAACTGCATCTGTTCCCTGATTGATAAAGTATATTAAATTATTAATTAATACAAAAACTTCAGATATTTTATACTCTTGAATAATATAAAAGGAAGGAATGTAGGTTTCCCACTCCATAGAAGTCATTTCACCTTAATCTATGTTCTTGGGCACCTGACAATTGCCTGGTAGGAATTGTGTAGGTCTGTCTTTCCAGACAGGAATCTGTTGTGTTGGTTTTGGGATTCACATTGTGCTCTGTAGAAAGAAGCATTATTTTGCTTAACTGCATTAGGGAAAGATGAGAAGAATGGCCACAGGAACCTGGTGTTTTATTTGCTCTGTCCCTTAATAAGTAATATATTTTTTTTTTTAATAGAAAAAGTGGAAGTATCAGGAGCTGCAAAGAAAGAGGAAATAGTGTTGAGATCATATGAACACAGTAGGGATGATAGAGCTGGTGTTTGGGGCTGGTCAGGAAATGGAAGGAATCAAAATTCTTTTCCAAGGAAGGGAAGTATTTGTCCCAAGATGAGCCAGGACCCAGCCTTTATGGCTGCTTTATATTCATGAGTTAAAATGGATGGAGAGACACAGAAAAAGTGTATAGTTTAAAGAGGTCTTCAGTTCACCTGACTCACTGGCATATTTGAAGGAAATTAAAAGGCTGCAGAATTATTTTATACCACTGCATTCCCTTTAATTGTTTGTGATGCATGTAAAAACAACATTATGCCAGCTGTGAAGAAAGTGGCTGCCAGAATACATTGAGCTGCTATGTTTCATCCTATCTACAAACCCAAATAACCCAACTGCACAACCTTTTTAAAACACTATTTCATATTTGTGGAAAGAAAGGTAGGAAAAAAAGTTATCCAGATGCCCCAGGGAATACAGCTCCCTCTGCTTTGACTTATAAAAATATCACTGTTAACATAACTGATAATTCATATGTGATACTGCTTAGCAAATGTGAACATTTACCTCCTTTAACAGCCCTGTGATACAGGCCATGTTGGGTCAAGTTCAGCTTCTCCATAAGTACATTTATGCATCATGAGCTTGATCATCCCTCTCTGTCTCTCTAGTAGGAAAATAAAGAAAAAGTAAGTAAGTGACAGAGAGCCCTGGAAGGAAAGCTGCAGCCAAATTAGGACAAAAGCGTAAGTAATCATTTCTCTTTCTCTCTTTACAATGAACTTTCTTTTGATCATTCCTGCTTTGTTAGAGCAATATTAAAAGTTTAATTCCATAACCCTGGCTCACACAAGCAATCCTTTTGCAAGCAGAAATACCCCATGAGTTTAGTGAAATTAGTGCTGCTATATAACGGATTTTTAAAAATTACCCTGGTGGAAGTCCATGGTGGTAGATACTCACTTCATACCTCTGAAGGAAAGTTTTTGTATTATTTTCCTTGTTACTGAAAGCCACCCATAAAATTAAGATATCATTAACTGGAACCCATGACAGTGTTGTAGGTTAGAAGCTCTGCATCATATCCTCTCCACTTTAAATTTAATAGATTAAAAACATCATACCTTGATCCTTATTTGCAGCAGACAATCACCATTTTCCATAACATGCAACCAAATCTGCTCTGCTGTTTGGGGCCATGCTGCAGCACAGCTGGGACAGGGAACTTCAGGAACACTTATACAGAGTGTACATTTCAGTAACACTGCCTTATTTCTGTCAATGAAGGGTCCTCATTTTCTCCTGCTAGATGTGCAGGCATGCCTCACTAACAATTACTGAGGGTCACAGGCAAACAATTTCTACACCTACTGTACATAATAATTGTCATGAGAAATTATCTTCACAGCCTTCTAAGCTTCCGTTTGCAAACAATGATCTATATGATAATAATATCTCTATAGCTTACAATGCATACACATTAGCCTGGTGTATACACAGCACAACTTTCCATAGAGAAGTCCACATTGATCATCAAACTTTATTCCATGCTTCATAGCTGGGAATAAAACGCTTGGCATGTTTTTATCAACAAAGCACTCATTTTCAGTGCCTCTGGCTGCACATTATTCTTGACTAAACGGACATGTTACAAACCTCCTACATCCCAACATATGGCTTTCTTGCATGCTTCAGAAAGAGAAATTAAACAGACATAAGCACTAACACTCTCTATTGTGCTAAATGAAGAAGATTTCATAGTATTATATCTCATAATATGGTTGCTTCTTTAAAAAACAGAATATATTTGCATTCAAAATTAAGCAATATTTTCTCCCCCTTTCTCACAATCTTTTAATATGGCAGACATGCACCTGATCATGCTGTTTCCCATGCAGCAAAGCATGTTTGTGTGCTGTTAAATGGTAATGCATTTCATGTATATGATACCTGCTCTGCCAAGTTGCCTCTCTTTCTCTATGCATGCTGCAAGAACATTTTTAATGAGGTATTTGCCATTAACAACATTTTCATACATGCATGCTATTCATAAGAGGAAAACAAATAATTTTGCTTAGGATTAAGCTCAGTTTTAAATAACAAACTGCATTATCAAACCTCCCCATTCCTGAGGCAGAAGCACATGGCTGTGTACATACACATAGTTACACACACCCTCAGAGAGCAGAGCACTGCATTTTCCTCTGAGTATTGTGTGTCCCCTGTAGCCCTTTAATGCTTAAGGCTTAAATGCTAAAACACTAAAAACAGGTGTACCTTGACCCTCTGAAGATCTGATAAGATCTGACTGGATCAAAGGCCAAGGTCACTTGAGTCATGAGATTGGCTGAGTGATATTATTTTTGTCATGGTTCCAAACTGTTGAGAGGTAGGACTCTGATTCTGGCACATGAGAATCAAATGATATGATAGTCTAGTTATTAAATATGACAGATAGAAAAAGCTGTATGTTGCACAGCTACTCTGTGATTAGTAGCCTATATTTTACAATGTCACTGCTCTGAATGCTGTAATACTTCCAAGACTCTTTCAAGAACTAAGGCTTTTGAATTTAAAAGAAACAATAAAAGAAGATAGAGATGAAATCTGGTAACAGCTCTGTAAGATTTCACAGCTTATTTTTCTAAACAGCATTCTATTTCAATAATTCAACTGTAAGACTAGTTCTCTGCTGCTGGGTTTTTTTTTTTTTCCTTAGGACCATCTTTAAATCTTCTATTTTATTTTATTTTAATCAAACAGATGAATAAACTTCTACAGAACATTAGAGGAACGCAAAACAAGAAAAGTTATCTCTATCTTCTCATTTTCATGTTATGCTTGCAAATAGATGCAGCATTTTAAATCCAGCTCATTCCCCTACAGGTAACCTATGTTAAGAATTACAGAGGAACCCCAGCAACAATAAAAATGCCCATCTCACCCATGTATCTCAAACACTATCTTTTTAAGGTAATCAAAAGTAGAGTAGTTTGATGTTTAGCGTGGCATATCTATAACTTACACATCCTATCAGTTCATTCATCTGTAAACTAGATATACTTTTCTGTCTCCATGATGCCTTGCAAATGTTTTTAAAGGGCTTTGAGATCCACTGATGAAAGGTATTTTAATAGCATGCAGTATCACTGACATGGGCGTCTTGAGTGCCTACTTGCATTTTGAATATGCAGCCTTTTGTCTTTAGAAGGCGGCCTAAAACCCTAATTAAATCGGAAGATTTTTGTGGGCTGAGGGATTGTGCAGTATTAGATAAGTCAGCAACAAACCCATCAAGTAGTTCAGGGGGAAAAAAATAAAATGCAATCAGGTAATCTTACAATCAGCAGATAAAAGCCAAACAGAAACATATTATATAGCCTGTAACTATAATAGGCTAACACTGCATTATTTCCAAGACATAACTACTGAACACAAGGAACACATGGTTCTTCTCTCTCTCAGGAAGAGAGAAAAGAACCATGAAACACTCAGTGAAATTGTGATGAGAAGGGAGACCTTGCATTCAAAACTTGGCATTTTCTGTTGTTTCTTCTCAAAGAAGGGATGATTGCTTGATATAGATAATATAAATGAAATAAAGGCATGTCTGAACAAGCAACAGTTGCTACTGTGCTTAGGACCAGAGCTGGAAGGAACGACTGTTTTCTGTTTTGAGTAGAAATGGGCCCCCGGTCTCTAAGAATGTGTGCATGATGTATAATAGATACCTGTCTGATATAATTAATTATATTTTTCCTAAATTTAACATTGCCTGAAGGGTAAAATCATTTTGCTTGGTGAAATCCCTCATGCCACACAAAGTCTGTGCACAAGTCAGATTTAATTGCTGTGATAAAACCACAAGAAAGACCAGGTTTGCATTAAATCTATAACCACATCTAGTGAAGAATAGCTTTAATCACCTTTGAAATGGTGACCACAAGATAATTAAAGGGAAAGTGTTCTCATTAGTAATTATCCAGGAATATCAAATCTCAGTTTATCTTGAAGTACAACTTAAAATGACTTGGCATGGTTTTAATTTTTTCCTCTATTTCTGAAGTTATGAATCTCCTAGAATTTCTTCTATGAGGGTGGGGAAAAAAATCGACTTTTCCCTGTGGAATTCCACAGTCCACTGTCATGCTTCCTTTCCTGTGTCTGTGCTAGTCAGAGTACCAGGTAACAGCAGTCACTTCTCATTGATACCTTTGCCATTTTCGCACTCAGGACAAACTGAAAACTGAAGCTTTTCATTCTCAATAAAGACAGCATTACTTGTGTTGCTAGGAGATGATATATCTCATTGCTTCTATCACTAAAGTCTCTTTGGTGTAGTTTCTCTGCTCCTGGTAACAAATATTTGATCTCTTGCACATGTGCTTCCAGTGGAAAAGGGAAGCAGAGTCTCACTTGAATATGAGCAATTACCTGCTTTAATTTGCACGTGTAAATCAGCCTTGAATCTGAGGTTTTCAAACAGCACACAAGACCACCCCAATTCTCCACAATCAAAGCATAACTCTGACTCCAGGCTTTGACAAGAATCACCTGTGTTATGAAATGACCCTAATCAAAGAACAGCACGGAGAGCAAATTCTCCTGCTTCTCACTTTGTTTCCTCTGTCTGACCTGTTTAACAAATCTAACATACCACATCTCATTAGGCTCAGCCTTTACTTCACTATAAAGAAAATTTAGAAGACTACATTTAAGAACATCAGATAGTGCTAACAGCATGACATGGTATGTGTAGTAGGGTAAACGATTCTTTTACAGGAACTTATTTCCCTCTGCATACTTTCTCTGTTTTCCTCTTCCTTTCCTCTTTACACACCTTAACAAATATGCTGCGAGGGGGATTCTGGTCAGAACTGCTACCTATGAAATTTCAGACAGCTTGGTTTTTGGCTTGGCAAAGATTGGTAGGGGTCGCTTTCAATATTAGGCTTATAATGAAAGGATTGTTGTAACCTTATCTATGTTATGTGGAAGAGATCAACATCACTCAATCATTAAAAAAAAAAAGGAAAAAAAGAAAAAAAAAAGGCTTCTTTTCTTTCTTTAAATGTAATTTAGTTTTCCTTTCCCCCTTTCCCAAGTTTCATTGTGGGTTCACTGAGCTACTCTCCCCTTCAGGCAGAAATGGAAACCAGAGGAGTTGCATTCCTTCAGTCTGTTTCTGACAGCGAGTGTGGCTGCATCTAACTTAGCAGCTAAAGCCTTGCCCTACACTCTGCAGTGCAGCTGTGCAGAACTTGGCTGTTTCAGATCACAGTGCTTTCATAAAGACTTTCATAAAAATTTCACTTGGCTTGCTGCTGCTGAATTGCACTTTGAGATGGGCAAACACCATAAAAATAAGAAAAAAAGGTACCAAAACACTTAGTGAAAAACCTTGCATTTCATCTGGCTCTGTGTTGAAATTACATGATGCTATGAAGTTTGCATGATAGAGAGGAATATAAGATTTTTGTGAACCTTAGCCCTGGTTTGCTTTGAAATGTTCACAGAACATAGCAAAACTTTCAACTGATATAAAGTGAGATTCAAGTTTCTAATGAAACCAGGCCATTTTGCATGGATTCAGGTTTCATATTGCAGGTCTCTTACAACTGTACTCTCAAAGGAATATATTCCTATCTCAAGATGGGATTTACATACTGTATGTAACTCCCCACATGTCCCGGCAAGATTATTACTTTCTTATATAGCCGTAAATCCTAGAGCTTTATGTTATGTCAAGGGAATGGATAATCCGCTCACTAAGGGCCAAATCCTACCCCTTGAACAGGCATGTCAAGGCCCAAGAGGTAAAAGAAACCCTATTCTTTGAGGAGATAGATTAGCAAGGCACACCCTCCACGGCAGCACAGAAGATGCTCGGTTCACACTGGTGTGCCTGGGTCCCCGAGTAAGAACACGGTCAGCCCCAATAGCCACACACAGAGCAGCACAGGAACCAGCAGCCCTGCATCAAACACATCAGGCCCTACTTAGGTCCTGCCAATCGGGTCCTGACACACATTATTCTTTTGCCTAGAAGCATCCCTGTGACTTAAATTCAAAGAATATTGGCCAATTAAAATGGGTAATGTCAAACTGTAGAGAGGATAAACAGAAAGCATCAGGTTCTGGACTCAAGTGCTATTCTCTTGCACTGAAGGGAGATGGGGTTTTTTGAGTGAAAGCAGAACAAAAAT